TTAGGAAAATTATAAAATATAATATAGAGCTAAAAATAAATATATACTAATATAGGAAAAAAATAAATTCTATTACAGTAGTAATAGGTTCTTCTATAGTAATAACAGTTCTTTGTAGTAATTGTTGAGAAGTAGATGTACTAGTTTCTTTCTCAAAGCCTTGTACTGATTCTAATGCAACAACTTGTAAAACTTCAATATATTGTTAAGCTCTAACTAGATTATTAATAAAATATCAAATAGAGTCTTTTAATCAGCAATAACAATAATACTAGTAGTGAAAAATATATTTTCAAAAGAGAAGTTGAATAATTTTTCGGGGATTAGTTATTTGGTTTTGATAATAACAACTAAAAATAATATTTCTAGTAACAACTTGAACAGCCAAATATGCAGAAGTAGCTAGTCTTAGAAAGTTAGTTTGGATAATTTTAATGAAAGAAGTAGTGTAAAAGGCTTCTAAATACCAAGTCTAAAATTTAGTAAAATGTTTATAAGAGTTAAAAGAAATAGGTGTTGGTGGATAACACTAAGTACAAGATAAATCAATTGCAAGGATTTGCAATACAGTAGTATTAAGAGAAGAGTTTTTACTATAAATCTGTTCATGTTTTCGAATATTTTCTAAATGAAATTGAATAATAAATTCTCTTATAAAATAAATTTCTTTGAAAAGGATTAATACTAATGAGTAATAAAATGATAAAATAAAATAATAAAAATCAAGAGAATAAATCTAAAACAATAGTGCTAACAAGTAAAAAATTCAAATAATTAATCAAAAATTTAAATAATTTAAAATATATTCATCAGCCAGTAAGTAATATTAAAATTAAAAATTAAAATCAAAAATCAAAATCAAAAATCAAAATCAAGATTATTTCAAAAATCAAAAATTCAAAAATAAAAGATAAAAGTATAAACTTTTTCAATTTCAAAATACAAAATACAAATGCAAAATACAAAATAATTCAATTTAATTTGAGTTAGTAGAGGTATATCTAAAATAATAATTCTAAAATTTCAAAATGCTTTTTTATAATTGCTGTTTTCAAAATAAAATTCTTCTTAGGAAGAGAATTGTTTCTTGGAGTAATTTTCTTGAGAGGGATTTTAGTTTCTTTTTTAGAATAAATTTTTATATTTCCACCAAAAGGCATCAAAATGTTATAGGGTTGTAGTCTTTTTGATACAATACAACCAAGTAACAAGGTCATCTGGTATAGTGATTGACTATTGTAAATATATACAGACTAAAAATGTAGTAGTTCATTTTACTATATAGTAGCAAGCAAATGGTTCAAGATAATAACAGTATATAGATTAACTTTTATTAAATAAACACACAGTGACAACCTTGTCTGTAGAAATTACTCTAGATAGAAAATATCACTTTTACAAGTTAGAGATAAAGGTAGAAAGATCTAGATTGAAGTATAAGAACTTAGAATTAGTAGGGAAGGGTAAAAGTTACCCTTTATATATCTTTTTATCTAGCAGAAATAATAGGAATTCAAGCAACATTACTTGATATTGTACTTGAAGTAATGGGAGTTTGAACAATATTAGATATTATTATACTTAGAATAGTAGAGGTTCGAACAATATTAAATGATATTGTACTTAAGATAGTAAAGATTGTATAGAGACAACTAGTAATATTGTTTAGTTATTTGTTATTTGTGTTTGAAACAATTGGGACTTGTGTTTAGATATATGGATCTGTACAAAGGTATTTAGGATTTGTGTAGGGATACTTGGAGTTTGTGTAGAGACACTTGGGATTCGTGTTAGTGATACTTGAGATTCTTGTGTTGCAGTACTTTATATAGTAATTTGATACTAGAATACATGAAACTTGTACAGAGGTACTTGGGGTTTGTAATACAATAGTAATATTACAGATGTTACTCAGTGTCATATGGCTGTACTACATTTCTAATAGCCAATTAAGATCCTTTTATCTATTTATAATATAAAATACAATAATAAATATACTGTATATATAATTACTAATACTACTATATAATATACTATACTAAAATCTACTTTGTAACAATATCTTGAATTTCTTCTGAACATTCTATATTTTTTCTTAATTACACAAAATAATTAACTTTAATTGATTAATTTCTAAAACACTGTAAAAGAATTTTAATAGTAGATTTTTATATTTAATCTTTAAAGATTCATATATTGATGAGTTTTAAATCAATTTTGATAATTTTACTACTGTTAGAATCACAAGAACCTACTCTACAACTTTATCTAGAAGTTCAAAAAATATTTAATTAGTAAAAATTTTTGTAATTGAAATTGCAAAAAAAATATATCATCAAATTTATATATAGTTTTAAAATATTACCCTACCTTTAAATTAAACCAAAAAAAAATACATAGTCAAAAAAGTTTCGAACTAGTGATGCGTCACATTGCCGTAACTATAACAAGTTACGGTGATGTGACGACTATCATTGGGACGATTCTATCGCATTACTAGTCCGAACTCAAGATCTGGGCAGTAAGCAAGAACAACTAGCATGGAAGTATAAATTAGAACCGTGTGGAATAAATTTAATGATTAGTAAGCATCACGATTATGACTGAGTCAGAAAACATGAATATCTGATGATACAAACCGCGTTTTCTATGGTGCGAATGATAAATATTGAATTTATATTTGATTATAAATTTTGCTATAATAAGCATAATTCTTTTGTTTTTTTTGGTGTTAAGGTGAGGCATAATTCATAATTATTGGTTAAGAGATAGATTATTAATTAATTTTTACAAAAACTCGTTTTTGTACCGGAAACTAAGTTGCCTTTATTGAATTCTCGCTTAAAATATTTTTTTACACAAACTTAAAACTGTGCTATAAAATTAGCTTTGTATAATAATTTGATGTAGATTTAATAGAATTCAGATTGTTGTCAAAAATAAGATTGAAGCTCTACACTATGTTGTAGTTCTTAGCTATGCTTAGGACAATGAAGATGGCTTTAACTATCGCTATTCCTAATTTGTCTATATAAACTTCAAAAAATATATTCATTCAATAGTTTGAATCTAGAATCTATTATATTAAAAAAATAGTTCTATTATGCACCTTCTTAAACTTCACCTTTTAATTGAATAGAAAAATATAATAAAAAATACACCAATACGTATAAGGATTGGAATCGGTCAGTCGAATAAAACTATTAGTCATCGACTGACTAAAAATCGACTAAAATTAATCGATTAGTTGACTAATCAACTAGTCGATTAGTCGACTAATCGACCAATTGATTGACTATACGTATAGTTAGTTAGATGCTATATAAACAATAGTTAACCAATTAAATTTGCGACTAATAGTCGCGACTAACGACTTTATGATTCCTATCAATAAAACAGCCCCCCCAAAAAATTGTTGATTACGTGACGCACTGTATAAAAAAATCAATTACTATTTCAAAGGTCGTGTTTGAATCATCTGTATGAGCGACAGGAACACATTAAAAATTTGTTTTTGTAAGACAATGTTTCATATCAGAATAACAACACGGCTCGGCATGAAGTTAGCCGATCTATAAATGACTCGATATTAATTTATAGATCCGAAGAATCTGTTCGGTTTTTCAATATTATCCGTAAACCGGGCCGAGACAGTTATTTACATACTGCAACGAAATAAACGTGTATGGCAATAGTTGGCTTGTTAAATATTAATTACGTAATTATAAATCTATTATTTGCATTTATCCTATCGTTGTCAACCTCTCCTGCCTCCGTTCACAGCTGCATACGTACGTACCTAACCATACAAATTCTAAATTGAGTTATGTTTTAATAAACGGTACGGAGTTTCATTATCCGAGTGGGTTAGCTAATAGAAATCTCTGATGATGTAAGAATGAGAGAAAATGAATTAATGAAAAAAAAATATATATATACATTCTGATTTCTTTCCAAACTTATCAAAAATCTTACAACAATTTTCAACATGGTTCTTATTGAAATTCCAAAAGAATACGGATACGTAAGTTTTCTTTAAGAACAAATGATAAAATCATTTTTCATATGAAATTTGCATCCATCTTATTTTTATTTTATGAATTAGGTGATTATCTCCGGTGTCGCTTCGATATTCTTAACAACATATCTTGGTTGTAAGTAGATTTTTTTTTTTTAGCTATTTTTATCTATATTATCTAATTATCTAATAAGGGTTTCTTTCCCGAATCTAGTTCAAGTAGGAAGTGCTCGTAGAAAAGCGGGTGTCCCATATCCTAACCGTAAGTTTGAAATAGATTTTTGTTATCTTGAAAAAAAAATCCATATGTGACCAACTTATTGTTCTTTTAATAAAGTGTACGCTAGCAAAGAGGAGGCAGAAAAGGATCGAAACAAACTTGTTTTCAATTGTTATCAAAGGGCTCATCAAGTTAGTTAGCATTTAACATTCATATTTTATTCAATCACCCACATCATATAGTTAACTATATTTTAATTATTATTTTTTTCTAGAGCACTTTTGAACATTACCCTCAATTCCTTTTAACGTATGTTTGTCATGAAAGTCCTATCACGTGATATACAAATTTTTTAATTCTTATCATTATTTATTTTATCATAGTCTTATGATTGGTGGTTTAAAACATCCTGTCCTCTCTGCTGTGGGTGGTGGTATTTGGGTATTGGGTAAGTTTTTACATAAAAGTATGACTTTCAATTAAAATATAGTACAATACATCATGATCACATGATAAACAAATAATATTCATAGGTCGATTGGTTTTCGCATGGGGCTATCAAACCGGCGATCCTGCGAAAAGAACTCGAGGAACCTTTGCGTATATTGGCAGTATCGTATTGTTGGGTACTAGCATTTCTACCGCCGTTAGTTTGTTAACACAATAAATCCTTTGAAAAATTAATTTGAAAGTAAATTTAGAACTTGAGAATAATTTCTTAAAACTATGTACTTGATCATAACAAAAAGACTTTCTTTGAATAAATGTATTGCAACTAATGAATTCCATTAATTATGATTTTTAAATCAATAATATCAAGAATTGCTAATAAACATTTAAAATTTTTTACAACTAATAAACTAGTGTTTAATTCATCTATGAGTTTAATTTTCAATTATTCACGAATATCAACAATAACACCTAAAACATTAAAAACATTAGAAATATTAAAAACGTTCATTATAAAGAAATAACTTGAGAAATGAAAATATATAAAAATATATATTACCAGTTCCAACTGTTTTACCACCTTCTCGGATAGTAAATCTCATACCAGGTTCAACAGCCATATCATGGACAAGTTCACACTCAAGCGTGACGTTATCTCCTGGCATAACAAATTTTTCATCCGGATTTTCGGTACCGTTTGGATAAGTCAATGTAACAGTTACATCAGATGTTCGAAAGAACATTTGTGGTCTATAATTTTGCATGAATGGAGTATGTCTTCCACCTTCTTCTTTTGTAAGAACGTAAACTTGAGCCGAAAATTTCCTGTAAGATTTAACTGTTCCAGGTGCGGCAAGTACTTGTCCTCGTCGAATTTGTTCTCGTTTGATACCACGTAATAAAGCTCCCATATTGTCACCTGCCATTCCTTTATCAAGTTCTTTATGGAACATTTCTATACCAGTCAATGTGGTTTTTACTGTTTGCCCCATACCAACTATTTCAATTTCAGAACCTTTTGAGACGGTACCCCTTTCCACTCTACCAGTAGCAACAGTACCTCGACCAGAAATAGAAAAAACATCTAATATTTTTTTTTCAAATTTAAATCAATTTATTTGATCATTTACCGTATTGTCGCGAAATAACGTCCATGGGCGTTATTTAGAATAATGGCCCGAATTAAGCTTAATTTAGGCCGAAATTACACGTTATTTCACGACAATACGGTAGTTAGATATCACAAATAGAAATAATAATAATAATAATAATAATAATTACCTTCAATAGACATCAAGAATGGTTTATCTAAATCTCTTATAGGTGTAGGAATATGTTTATCAACAGCATCCATTAATTTATCTATAGCTTTTTCACCAATTTCTGGATCTCGACCTTCAAGAGCAGCAAGAGCAGAACCCATTATTATAGGAGTTTCTTCACCATTAAAACCATATTGAGTTAATAAATCTCTCATTTCCATTTCAACTAATTCCAACATTTCTTTATCATCAACCGCATCAATTTTATTGACAAATACTACGAGATTTGATACACCAACTTGTCTAGCGAGAAGTAAGTGTTCACGTGTTTGAGGCATTTGACCATCTGTAGCTGATACTACGATAATTGCACCATCCATCTAAATAATAAAAGTTTATGACAATAAAAAAAAAGTTTAATTGTTATAATTTATGGATTATTATGATTTATTTATGAATTTATGTTTCAAGGTTTACCTGCGCAGCACCAGTGATCATATTTTTAATATAATCAGCATGTCCAGGACAATCGATATGAGCGTAATGTCTTGAATCAGTTTCATATTCAACATGAGCTGTAGCGATAGTAATACCTCTAGCTTTTTCTTCTGGAGCTTTATCAATTTCACCATAATCTTTAAATTTAGCTTTTCCTTTTGATGCCAAACATTTAGTGATTGCGGCAGTTAATGTTGTTTTTCCATGATCAACGTGACCAATTGTACCGATATTTACATGAGGTTTAACTCGTTGAAATTTTGTCGCTTCGGTAGCATAAGTTCGAATATAGTTATTAAACGAAATTATTTTACGTAATGACGAAATCCCTGGCGAATGATGAAATCCTGATGAAACCTCTGATGAAAAATGAAATCTCTGATGAAAGATAAATATTAGAATTGCAATTTAATCTGAATTATGATAATCAGATAGAAAAAAAAAAAATCATTTTTTTCTTTACAACACATATAATATTAATGCTGATCAAAATTTTTTTTCAATCGAAATATGCATTCGAGATAGTGAAAACTATTTATTCATTAACAACTAAAAATATCAACATACCAGTTTAGAACTATTTGAGACAGGTCTCGTTACACCCAGAACTTTAATAATTGCAAAAATACGTGTATATATTTTAATGTTTACATAAAATTTAATTAACTTTTGTTTGAAAGCACTAAATTTCACTACCACTTGTAAACTTGATATCAATTTGGTGTTTTAGCTTTTCACTTACAACGACGAGCCGAGCTGTTCAAACACCGCTTCGATGTCTGGGCAGTCACGGTCCGCATGCAAGGTTGCAATGAGGCATTGAAAGTTCTGAACAAAAACATTATGTTATGATTCTTGTTGGATATGAAAAAAAGTCGAATGATTCATTCACATTTTTTTATATATTAATAGATTATCTGCACGTGATCTAAACTTACGAGATGTTGAAAAAAATTGAATACTATGCTGCATAACAACTAATTGATGTGTTGGTTAAAAAATAATTATCTATACACAAAATATTATGATTTCTTTCTATTTTATTCACAAGTTTGCGAGATTATTGTATTAAATTTAACAAATGTATCAAATATAATAATATTAATCTTCAGGTTTTTTGTTAGTGTCTTTAATCGTATATTTTCCATACTATATAAATAAATTTGATATTAGTTACTGTATAATCGATATAATCGATATAAATTTTTTTGTTTTGCAAACAATAATGAACAATGTAACATACATTTTTCTCTGGATCATAGACTTCCCATCGACTTGCTGGAAAGATATGTTTATTCTTTTCATACCAATTTCGTTCAACCACCTTACCAGCATGTGACTATAATTTTTAAATAAATTAATTCTCGTTATGTTGACAGTACAAAACATAATAATAATAATTATATTCAAAAATTTCAAAATTTCATTTCAACAATTCGACAATACAAACCTCATCTTTTTCGACTGTAGCATCATGTGTTAAACGAACGTCATCATGCACATCAAAACTAAACAAAGGTCCAGATTTTCCTCTTGCTTTATTGATGATGAAATCGTAAAATGTGTAATGCTATTTAAAAAAAAAATTTTTTTTTAGTATAATATAACATTGAACATAAAAGATGTAAATAAAATTTTAAAATATACATGTGGAATAATTAAATCTTCCTTAACATAAATCAGGTTATCAACGCTAACTCCGCGCAACTCATGAAATTGCTGCCGACATTTTTCTAAAAAGCTTGCGATAGAATCACCTTTCTTACAAGATACAGTTTTTCGATGACCAGTACCATCCCAATAAGAATATGTGACACTAATTTTTTCATCTATTTAAAAGTAAATACGGGTTGAAATTAAATGAATTAAGAAAAAGAATTATAAAGAATTAAACAAGATTCACAAAAAATAGATCCAAACTTTTGATTTCTTCTTGTTTCCGTAACCATTCTAGTCGTAATTGTTCCCTTTCTTTACGTTCTTCTTCTTCTCTATCACGGTCAGGTAAAAATGATGTGTCTACGTTAGGATTTTTACCTAGTTTTGGTTTTTTCTTTGATGCTATATCCGATTCTTCTAGGATTAGATAATTGAAATTGTATTAAATTTTCACAGTAATTTATAATCAAATATTTTTGATATTTAATAATGATTTCTACTTAATATATACCTTCACTTTTAATAGCATTATCATCATCTTCATGATCACTATCTTCTAAATTAAAAGATAACTTAACCTTTTCTTCCTTCTTTTTACGCTTTTTTTTGATTTTGTCATCTCTAAATTATATAATTGATTTATAAGATAAAATTGACCTATGTATTGTTTTCAAAAATCGTATAAAGTGAAATACATACTTTAACTCAGCAGTTCTTGCAGCCTCTCTTTCTTTTTGAACTTGTAATTCTTTTCTAATCTTTTGAAAATCTTCAAGCTTAACCAACCCAATCGTTTCTTTCTTTAATGAATCTTCTACATCATCATACTGTGTCACGAATTTGCTGTTGGTTATGTTAACTTGATTATCCTTTAAAACGTTGAAATGTAAAGTTATATAAGTTGAAAAAACGGTAAGATTTCAAAAAAAACCAAGAAAAGTTTTAAACGCTTTTTAATAATATATAAGTATTGTCACAAATTTGGGCTGAATGCAAAAAAACAAAAAGAGCAACTTACTCACTTTAGCGATCTTTTCCCTCTGTTTCTCAAAATCGCTCAACATTTTTGCTCTTTGCTTTTCCAGCATGGCTTGTCGCTGCCCTTCTGACGATGCACCTTTATATTCTGCCATGTTTTGTCGGAATTGTATATAATTTGATACTAAAACTTTACTAGATCTATCAAAAGCTTAACTTTCGAAAGGTACTTGAATAATTAAATTGCTTCGATCGACATACAGTACATATTAAGTTTTCTGGCACGTGATATTTTTACTAAATAGTAATTATCTTCGGACTTTTACCGTTACGTTTTTTTAACGAAACTTAATTAGCAAATTTTTCGCATACATGTTATAGTCACGATCAGTTTGAAGACTACACAAACTGTAACTTCATATTGTACAGAATAAATGCTTTGAACTATGTGGTTTATCAATTAGAGCGAGATTTAAATTTCAATATTTCATTTATTGTTGAAATTTAACGAAAGTCAAAAAAAAAACAAAAAGCTTAACAAGTGTAAATAATAATTTTACATAATAAAATATTTTTATTATTAATAATATTTAATTAGAAAAGTCATTTACGAAATAAAAAATTCAGTCCGGACATTAATTATATGTATAAAAAAAAAAAACTTATACGTAAAAACTATTTCAACTATTAATAAAAATTTTGTTTCTTTTACAAGAAATAAAAATAAAAACCCAACTAATTTTTTATAACGGTAGATTTTTATTATTTCGTTAAATTCTTTTAGCGTATTAAAGGAAATATGTGTATACGAAGCGAAAGTAGTAATATCGATATCTAATTATCATATCTGATATATTCACTAATATCTAAAACGTTTTTTTAAATTGTAAAAAAAATACTAATCTTAATAAAAAAGCTTTGAAGATGTAAATCGTTTTCGTATTAGACCAATGTCGTTAAAAAAATAATATAGTTAATAAGCGTTAATTAACGTTAAAAAATAGCATAAAATTATTTTTTTAAAAAAAATTTACATTCAAATCTTTATAGTATGGTGGTTGGTTTGTTGGTTTTCTATAAGCAGTTCTGGGTTCGATACCTGGTTAACAAATTATAGAAAAATGTATGTGAACCGTGTTACAAAAATCATAACAACTTTAGTTATGATCTTCGGCGGCCAACACGGCATCACAAGTTGTTCTACCTCCTTGTTCTGGTTATTTTTTTTATCTCAAATAATATATAATTATACTACAAATCTTAAAGCGTTGGACAGCGGTGCACAAAAATGCACAACCATACCATCTCTCCTAATTTGTGGTGGCTAAGTACGGCTCTATTTCTTTTACCGACTTGCCACTCTTAAATTAAGAGAGGGAGGTACGGAAGGCAAAAAAGTGGGGTTTGCACATATCCGTTGCTGAAAGTTTATAATATAAATATTATTGAGTTTAAAATAAGGAGGATGGGTATAATATAAAATCAACGAAGAAAAATGTGATCCTTATATACTTATTTTTTTGTTGCCGCATTTGATTTGTCATCAAAACATCAAAATAAACGCGACACGTTAAAAATCAAAACATACACGACAAATTAAAAATCAAAACAATTCTTTTTAGTCAAAATCAAAATCATACATGACGTATTAAAAATCAAACAATCAGTAGATATACAATAAACTACTAGCGGTTCATATAGAATATCAATATATTACTTCAAACCAAAAAAAAAACATTCATATTATCTGTAATATCAAAAGTTCGATATAAACTATATCGCATTCTAGCTTGACCTTAAGCTTTTATTATCATACGCTTTAACTCGATTGTTTTAATGAAATTTTATTAGTACTACAATGGTACATAGCTATATGAACGTTTAGTGTAGTAAATCAAGATACCACCCTATCGTATTAGAATCATGTCTTATCAAGAATACAGCTTTTACCGGAATTTAATTTCGCTAGAAATTCATTGTGCAAAACGCTGATTTCAATTAGAGGAGTTATGACTAGTTATAACTTTTTGCTTTAAGTTACGGCGTGCCGTAACGTGCGTGTGTCGTAATTCAACTTTATATGTCGTAACATGCCGTAACACAATTTTATATGTTGAAACTTGCCGTAATTTGTCGTAACTTGTTATATAAACATCGTCTTTTTTTAGACCGATTAGACAGAGAATTTTCTTCTTCGGATGACTATCAACTTCTTGAGATGTAATATTTTCATTACGCTCTTGAAGTGGTTTTGATAATTGTCGGGAGTTGAAGGCTGACACGTAAGAAGTTGATGTTATAGATAATGGGAAGCTATTATTATTTAGAACCGAATTGTCTTGTTCATATTCATTATAAAGGTTTCCGATTAATCGTCAAAATTATTAATAAATACTACAAAAACTTATTATTAATCGGAAATTCTAAAATTTCCAGACTCCATATTGTTAGACCAGTTCTTATATAATTATTGATTGTAATAAATACTATTTATTTTCCGCGCAGGCGGGAATGACATGATGTCGTTGACGGTGTTCTTCACTCAAATATCTTTAACCAGTACAACAAAAAAAAAAAAAGGCTATAAAAAGATAATTGCGAACCTAATAATACAATCATATTAAAGGAATTTAAAAAACTTCGTCTTTAATTATAATGATACTATTTCGCTGAATAAGAGAATTACAAAAATTCTTTGTTCTAAATAACTATCATGTTCTATCAAGAATTTTAAGATCTTTATTTAAGTAGTACTGTTGTAACGGATTTTAAAACTTTCGCCGAAGATAAAACCATTATGCAAACCAAAAGAATTAACTTCAAATCTTATGTAAAAACTTGAAGTGCACCCGGTGAAATAACAAGGAATGACGAAATTACTTTAAAATTGGTACCTTTACTGATTAAAGAAGTCACAAACCCCGTCATGCGATCATATAGAAACGTGGAATAATGATTAATTAAATGCAAATACTGACGGCACCTGGGATTTATATGGCAATTGGGATTCATACAGTTTCGCCTGCACCTCTAATTTCAAATTTCGATTAAAGTAACTTTATAAAAACAATTTTGTCTCTAGGTTTTTTTCAACCTAAATGATCTAAAATGTTAAGCACGATCAATTTTTCATGTTAATTGGTAAACTCAATAGAAGAAGCACTTAAAATCGTTCTTAGTTCAATAATATAAAAAGCTTATATATTAAAGGGAAATTCTATTTTGACCCTTCTAAAATTTAAGGTTAGTGCGGACCGTTAATGTTGGCCGGGTTTTTATATTAAAAAACCCTGGTCGGTATCAACATAATTTTGGCCCGCACTATCCCTAAATTTTAGGGAAGGTTATTTTGACCCAGGTCAGAATAGAATTTCCCTATATTAAATATTAATAAAAATTATAACGTCTGAACAAAATTATTGTAGATTTAGAATCCACTTAGGATGGAACGGAATACCAAATGTAGTCCAAGTTGATCCAAAATTTAATAGCAATTTAAGTCGATATAAATTGTAAAGATAAAATACAAATCTTTTATTGTTATTTTTCTTTATTTCACTTTTTTGTTCTTTGTAACACTCTACTCGATGACCAAATCTTCGTAATGTTTTCCACGTATTTTAGCAACAAGCCTTTATAACACGTGAAGTTTTCAATTTTTGTTTTACAAGTTCCTGCAAATACAATAATCAAATACAATAATTGGGGATGCGAAAGATCGAACTTATTAAATTTGACTTAAACCTACTTGGGTTCATTGAGTCTCGAAAGGTTTCCGCTCATAAGCGTTCTAGAAGCATCTACTATGTAATCCTTTTCACAATTGCAAAAATGAGTTTGATAAAAATCATTGTAAATGTAAAAAAATGAAAGTACTTTGTGAGAGTAGTTGCTATCCCACTATTCATGGATGTAGAAACTACGTGTAATGCTGTTAAATTTAATTGATTTGCATGCGCAGTGTTATAAATAAATTCTATCTTAAAACGACTTAAATTCCAAAATAACATACTCGATTAAATAACTTGGAATATACTTAATTTGGTTGTAAATTTGAACTAGAACTCTTTAACAATTTGAGCACATTTTGGAATTCTATTACAACCTATGTTTATTCAGAATCAACCTAATTTCATTCCGACGTACGACATATATATATATTTTTTTAAAAAAAGCAATTGAACAAATAATAATGCCTAGTATTTACAGGATGAAAATAATATCCCTTCTAATATAACTTATTCAGCAGGTACTATGTAAACACTAACGAAAAAATTTCACATTATATCTGCAAATTTTTATTGAAACCATATGACAAATTCTTATTATTTCTAATATAAAAATCCGTAGAAGTAATATAAAATTCTTTCCGTATGTGTATACCAGATAACAAGAAATTATTTATTACATAACTAACAGAGTAGAATAATATCGAGTACAGATAATTTCTTTAAAATTTAATGGAATTTGTGTATGAATTACTCGAATGTATAACGATAAGTAAAGTTTCGAATGTTAATCACTCGATGTAAACGTCTATACCACTAGTGATAGGAATCGACTAAGTCAACTAAAGTCATACTGTATATTATTCCTTACACTGTAAATTTGCCTGTAACTTTCTGAACTGGTACAACAAAATTATCACAGCAGATCCTCGATTTTGATTGACTAACGGCCGTGGATCTGCCCGCATTACATAATTGTTTACTTATTTCCGGCCGGAATTAATTTTTTAACTTTTCCATTCTAAAATAGAAATTTTTAAAGAAATAGGCCCGCACAATAATAAAATTTAGGGTTTGGAACCGCCTAAAAATTTTCTTAATCGTTTATTCGTCTAACCATTTAGCCGTTTAATTTGGCCGGCATTAAAATAATTCCGGCCCACGGCCAACATAATTCTGCCCGGAACTATGGAGCAATTTTTAAACGGTTAAACGTCCAATCCCTAGTAAAATTACAATTTTCACTTAATAAGCAGCTGTGATTTCATTAGAGTAATTCCGGCCAAATTTTTTGATTGTCACTTTTAGCCAATCAAAATCAAGAATCTGCCGTATAAGAAAAGCAAATTGCTTATTCGAAAGCTTTTTCTACCAATATAAATTTTGACAGTGTATATGTATCCTTCTTTTCTTTATTAAAACTTGTT